TTTTGACCTCTTTGAAGACATTATTCCCTGATTTTTATCGAGAGTTTTTTTAGGTGACCTCAGTCATTTAAGATGTAATTTACTATAGGGGCTTGCCCTTATAGGGAGCTTTTCCGAACCCAGCTTAAAATAAACCCTATTTAATTTTTTGTATTAAATAGGGGAACTTGTCGGCAAATAAAACGGTTTCGCAGACCAAACGGATGTCATATCTTTCTTAGTTTATTTGATCGAGCCTCACCCTCAAGTCTTGTGTTTATCCCTCGGGGTAGATACAGGATTTGAGGTTGAGTGCTCTTTCATTTAAACCATGAAAAATATGAGGTCAGTTTGATTTCATATTTTTCTAAAATTATATATATATACATAAATTCAAAAGTCCTTCCGAAGCGGGTGACGGGATTTCGATTCCGGCTGCCGACAGCTTCTTACGGGCGACCCCCCAAACATTAACTTTTTCCCCTTTTAAGCGCCGACACCGCCTTGACACAATATTTATTTTTTTTTAAATTGAAGCGCGAGATGTTAGAGTACTTCAAATCCTCATTTGCTTCTGATTTTATAGGCTCATGAAGGCACAGACGCTAGGAGACACATCAAGCTTGGAATTCATGAGAGGAAGGAGAATATTAGAGATCAATCCTGATCATCCTATCATCAAGGACTTGAGTGTAATTAATTCTTCTTGCTACCTTTAGCTTTCCTTTCATTTTCTGACCTGAAATTTTACTATTCGTTGGTTTTCACTGTTTGTCTATATCTGCAGGCTGCTTGTAAGCATGATCCTAACAACTCAGAAGCTAATAGAGCTGTTGATCTTTTATATGATACAGCATTGATCTCCAGTGGATTCACTGTAAGTTTGCTGCTAGTTTTAGCTCGAAAATGTTCGAGTCGGTTTGATTCATTATTTTTCAAGCTCAAATTCTTTAACGAGTCAAAAAAGCTTAGAATATAAGAAGCTTGGAACTCAAAAATAAAAAGCTTTTCGTGTTTTTAATGAATATATTATGATTGAAATGATAAAATACATGAATAGAGATGAAATTTTTCAATATTATACATCATACGCACACATCTACAAGTAATGTATCATATGTACTTTATATATTGTCCTTTTACAATCCAAACATAATGTTTAACTCATTTGTTTATTTGTCCAAAAATGTTCCAGAGTTATTTAACAGAAGACTTTGTTAATATGGTATATGTTAATACTATGCAGCCGATATTAACTATCTACTTTACTTTTCTTGTCTGCTACAAATATTTCAGCCTGATAGTCCTGCAGAGCTGGGAAACAAAATTTATGAGATGATGGCGATTGCTCTCGGAGGCCGGTGGGGCCGGTCGGATTCCGAGGTTGCTGAATACGCTGAAGCTGATGGTGATGAAGAAAGCTCATCTGAGGCTGAGTCTGCTGATCCTGCAGAAGCCGAAGTTATTGAGCCTTCAGAGGTCAGGGATGAAAGTGATCCATGGAAGGATTAAACTTCAGAAAGAATTGATCTTCTCTTTCTCGATGTTTTTGTTCGATGGTGAATTTGGGAGCAAGAGAGCTATTTAATATTATAAGGAGGTAAGAATGATAGATGTAGGCATTGCAGAAGTTTGTTAGAAAAAAGAGAGAGCAGAATGAACGGTGGAACATTTCTTGCTATAACTTTTACTATATTATTGTTGTGGATTTTGTAAGTAGGCTTTCTTTGATCATGAGAAGTGTGGAGTTGCTGTGTTGGCACGATGATGTTGTGATTGAGCTATGTGGTCGTAGTGGCCGGGGGTGCTTTGTGTTGCAACTGTGCGGTGAGGTTGGGTTGCCTCACTCGGTTAGATCGTCGTTGCATGAAAGGCTGTGTGGTGCCGGCAGGGTGAGGTGCATGGCGGGGTTCTGTGTATTGCATTGTTTGGGTGAGATCGTCGTGAGTGTTGTGATTCATATTTCCTTGATTTGTTTTGGTTCATAATTCACAAATAATAGGCTAATGGCATATTATAAATTCATTGAAATATTGTTTTTCATTTATATTAATACTATTCAAACACCCGAAGTACTAAGCTCTTGTATTTTCATTTTACAGTATATTTATAATAATTGCCTCAACTTATGGTAGTATGTATGATAGGCCATTAATACCCTCAACAGAGTTTTCTTGGGCGTTTCGTGATGGGGGTGGTAGGCGTTTATTATATGAACCGACATCTGATCAAATTATTGGGTCTGATTCACTCAGTTGTAGGGATTATTAGCTTCCCTGTGGTCTTGGGGTGGCCGATTTTCTTCATAACGTGGGCGGGTGGAGTGACCTAAATCATCCCTTACTCTGCACATCATTGTTTGGGGCTCCTTTCTACATAAGATGGGTGTAAGATTTTGTTATGGAGAAAGCAGGGTTGAAGTTTTATTCCTCGGCTGATATATGGTTGTTGCCAGCTCTAACAACTCTGATAAGGCCTTTGGTCACTGTAGTCCTAGAGCATACTAGAATTGTCATTCTTTCAACCTTTGTGCGCGGGTTCCAGATCCTACACTTCCAATGTCTCCTTTTGGAATTGGGTGATTAACGATTGGAGGCTCTCATTTTGCTCTTGCCTAATCTGTAGGAGGGCTTGCGAATTTTTCTAGACTTTTTGCTCTTACAAACTCTGTCAAAAACATCACTTGAAGTCAATAAATGAGGTAATCACTCCTAGGGGCAAACAATTTAACTATTTGAGAGCCGACTTCCTCAGTGTGGTAAAACAAAAATTGCAATTTAGTGTGTAGGTGATCCTTGACAAGCATATGATCAATTCAAAGGAGACAATGTGGTCAGTTGGATCAGTCTGATCTGTTATAAGATTCCAGTGCAAGGATTTCGAACCTCTCTGAAGGCTTGACTTTAAAGATTTGCCAAGAGAACACATTTTTCGACTAACATGACACCTCAGTGCACCCGAACTGTTGTTTATACATCAACTTCGACCCAATATTGTCAAATTATTGGGAATTTCCTTCCCTTTTTAGGACTAAGGGTGCCCTTTGGCCGTTGGGTGCTTATACACCAAAATAATATACTGTTTTAAGTATCTATTTCATGCTTATTTTTGGTGATATTACATTTTAAAGAAGCATATTTCCATATTTTTATTTTAGATATATCATTTTTAGACATTTGGAGCAAAAATGACAAAAATGATAAAATTTGGAGCTAAAACAACGAATTTTGGAATTCTGGCGCATGATGTGTCGTTTGACAGAGAGCTGACGCGTGATGCGCCAGATACGACTTTTTGCGGATTAAGGCGGTTCGAGACAAATTTTGCACGAATTTTCAAAGGGACACTTGTTCTACACACATATTGGAGTAATTCAATGCATATAGATACTTTGGAAGTTTCTTTTATGAAGGGATATGTCTTTTGGATCAAATGACACATTTTTTGAATTTAAAATAGTTAACTTTTGGAGGGAATTTTGGAGGAAAATTTGAATTCCTTTTGAAAGGAGGCAACCCCTAATAGAAGAAGACTTCAAAGACTTCAATGTGTGGTGGTTGGTGGTGAGGGGGACGAAAAGGACAAGAAGAAGGGGGTGGCGTGAAAGGCAAGGAGAGAAGAGAAGAAGATATTTTCTTCTAGGGTTGTAAGAGGAGAGGGAATGTGAGAGATTTCTTCATTACACTTCTAAGAGAGAATTGAGTGTGTTTGTAAAGAGAGAAAAACTTGAAGAGAACTTATAAGGATTTGCTTGGGAAGGATTGTGAGATAAGTTGTCTTTTATTTTTTTTGTTTTGTAAACTTGTTTTTATATATTAAATTCGTGTTTTGTCGTATCTTTCTCATGAATTCTGAGTAGTCTTCTTTATCCTTCTCCCTACTTTAAGAAATAGTATTGTGAAGAATTGATTTTGTTTTCTATGATTTTAAATGTTAATAATTTGTGATGATTTGAACTCTGATCTTCATTTACTTTTCGTTCTGGCCAATTGAAATGGTAAAACATGTTGACAAAACATATGTTCTGAAAAGGGCTATGATTTCTACAATAGGGGGAGAGTCACTTTGATTTCATGGGAGAATATGTCCTTCATGGAATTAAGTGCAAATAAATAGGAAAATATACTTTGTTGGATGTAGAATTGGAGATTTTAAGGTGACAGATTAAAATCTTCTATTTGGTTCAGTTGATTGGAAACTAATGCGAGATCTAATGCGAGATGGAAACTGATGCGAGATTGTTAGCCCTCGGGTGAGGGAGTAGTGAGAGCTCTGGAGTGGCACCTGGTATCCTCCCAGCCTAATCACGAAATTAGAGACCAATCTTATGCACAGTATAACAATATGTCAATGTTTTTTATAGCACTCAGAATAGGGTAAAGAATAAGGTTGCTCCTATTTGACACAAAACAATTTATATATATATTTTTAAATAATTTTAATTTCTTCATATTCCATATACTCATTGTAAAAGGGAAGGATGCTTTCTTTAATTTGAACCTTCCATCAACAAAAGCTTTATTTAATTTTCGTAATTTTACTTTTGAAAGTTTAGTTTAAAGTAATTTTCGTAATTTTACTTTTGAAAGTTTAGTTTTTAGTAAGTTAACTCTATCTTTCAACTGTATTTTATATAACATTCACTTTAGTAGTTAACACTTCACACTTTACTTTTATTTTTGTATTTTTAGATATAAAATAATTTTAAGAATTTACTTGTAGGTTTTTCCAACTTCCCTGTGGGATCGATATCTAGGACTCCATTAGAGCCCTTTATTACTTGAGTGATACGTATACTTCTGTTGATTTTAAAGAGGATTTGACAGTTTAAAAGAGTTTTAAAGATAAACTATTTTCATAAAAGGTATTTTTGTTGGGATTATATTGCATATTTATTGTTATATCTGTCGTGTATATTTTTGTAATATTGAAAAATATTTATAAAATTTACACACTAAATCTACCCGCATCATGTGCCAACCCTTCTTTCGGGAGCGATGCACTCTTCCCCGAGCCAATGCCTCTCGGATGGCATCCAACAACTGATCCTTCAACTATTGATTTTGTTAATTTACAAACTCTTAGTGCACTCCATGTTATCAGTGCCCCTATTGTGATTTTCTTCTCTGTGTGCTGCTTCTCTTTTTATATGTGGTATGTTCCAAGATCACCACACCTTTTAGGATGTTGAATCTTGATCTATTCATGAATATTACCTTAAGAGTTAGAGCATAAGCATGAGAGAGAGAGAGAGAGAGAGAGAGAGAGATCGACAGAGAGAAATGTATAATAATGAACAGTAAAATGTTTTTTCTAACTAGCCCCTTCTCATAGTTTGATTCCCTATTTATAGGAAAGGGTTCATGTGAAGTCACATGTTTGCCCCTGTTTTAATGGGGTGCTACATGATATTTTAGTTATTTTACATGTATGGGCCTACAACTCAACTACCTTCTGACCTAGTTAGCTGAGCTTGATGGGTCTTGGTCCAGTAAAGCTAGTTCTTTTGGCTATGTTTGAGTCGAGGTTGTTGATCAACCTTTGATTAACTTTGGGTTGATAGGATTCACTTGGCTTTGTCGATCGACCGATCAAATCTAACTTTCGGCTGTCGGTCCTTTGTTAGGAGCTCCTATTGGCTAAGCGATGCTAAGCTATTGGGCAGAGGGTGAATCACCGTAACTCGATATCTAGCTCACTCCCAAATCAGGAGAGCCGAAGAGATGATTTAGGTTTCTAGTGACATGGTTACCTTTCGATTCTTGATAAGAGGCTTCTGAGGCGTTTTTGGTAGTAATGTGGAGCCAAGTCTTTCCTTGAGTTCAAACTCAGACTATCTGAACTTCTTTTGTCTTGCAAACTCTGGCTCATATGACTGTATCTGGTTTTGGCTTTGGTTTGGGGTGCTATGTTTGGTTAGATAAATGGACCTTCTGATTTTTGCTGGTAGGCTCTCCATATTTGTACTTTTCTATCTCTGAATTGTTGGATCTTCTCGAGATTCGTGTTGATGTGTGTGTGTGTGTGTGTGTGTGTGTGTGTGTGTGTGTGTGTGTGCGCGTGT